TAGTCAAGATTAATAATAACACAATACGAATTACTTGAGAAGATATAACTAAATGTCTGTTTTAATCAAGATCTTTCATAAGATATATATATATAATCAAGTAAAATACAATTCAAATTTTAAAAAATAAACAAAATGATTTTTACTTTTCGTGGATTTGATCTTTTTAAATTTTACATTAAAATTTATCCAATAGCTAATAATAACTCCTCAAATTTAATGAAAAAAATAGGTCTTTAAGGGTATGTTTGAGGAGAATTTTTAAAAGTGTTTCTAAAACTTATAATTTCTCATAACTCTTTTTTTTAAAAAAAAAAAATAGTATTTGAAACTGTCCTACCACCATCCCCACCGCCCAACCACCACCGCAACCCCGCCATCACCACTACTAAAACCACCATCGTAGTCGCCGCAGCCACCACACCCACCGCTTCACCACCACCATCATCACCCCATCCTCACCAATTCCCCACCACTACCCCCACCACCATTGCCCACTTCCACGACCACTACCATTATTGTCACCCAACCACCACCTCTGCCATAGAAACCACTAGCATCTTCCCACCCCCACCTTCACTACCACCATTACCTCCATCATTGCCACCCCACCATTACAACCGCTGTTGTCATCACTGTACCACCATCGCCACTATCCCACCATCATCCCTTACGACCATTACCGCCTCCCCATCACCATCGTCATCACCGCTACCACCACCTTCATCGCCGCCACCCTACCACTACCTTTGTCGCCGTTGTCACCACCGCCACTAATCTCATCGATGTCGCCACCACCCCACAACCACCGCCACTACCCCACCACCCTCACTGTCTCACCCCTATCGCACCCCTATTATTACCATCGTCACCCACCATCGATTGTTACCATGATCAGCCACCGTTGCCACTCACCACTATCGTCTTCACATTCTTATATTTATTACCACTATCACCATCAGCACCCACCACCACCACCCATCGCCGCCCATTACCACAATTCACCACCACTCGTTGTCGCCCATCATCACCACCGGTCACTGTCACTCATCCCTACCACACCTACCATCACCACCCATTGTCACCCACTCTACCACACTTACCACTATCATTATCACCGCTATTGGTCATCACTCATTACACTATTGCCCAAAAGCACTCGTTGTCGCTCCACTGCCAACCACCATCACCACCACCCACACCCACGGTTACTCATGATTGCTATTACCACCATCGTCACTCAAAATTCACTACCACCACCACCGTTGCCATCTATGGTTGCCACCATTACCATGATTGTCGCCACCTACCACAACTATCACCGTCTCCCCACTACCACCACTGTCACCCACCACTTCTATCACTGCTCACCTCCACTACAATCGGTGCCTAAATTTTTTTACAATCGGTGCTTAAGTTTCTTTCTCTTTTCTATATACTTGTGATTTGATTTTGGGTATAAATATAAATATGTTCATTGAAAACTATTTTTTTATTACTCCATACCTTCAGGTACGGGCAATAACTAATATATAATGAAATAACTTAATTGTTTGTCTTGACCTTTTCGCAGCTCAGATTGTTTTGATCTAATGGTTCTAATTGGACATTCATTTCTTTTACAACTCTAAGACTCTCATTTCTCATATAACTATCTTTATCTATTTATCTTATACCCACTTTCTGTCTCATACTATTATGTTTTTTTTTGTTTCCTTGTGTAATTTTTGTTATTATTTACTCCATAAAATAGATGAAACTACATTTTATGCAATTGTTTATTCTATGAAACTATTTCAAAGTTTTTGTNTGATTTTGGGTATAAATATAAATATGTTCATTGAAAACTATTTTTTTATTACTCCATGCCTTCAGGTACGGGCAATAACTAAATTGTTTGTCTTGACCTTTTCGCAGCTCAGATTGTTTTGATCTAATGGTTCTAATTGGACATTCATTTTTTTTACAACTCTAAGACTCTCATTTCTCATATAACTATCTTTATCTATTTATCTTATACCCACTTTCTGTCTCATACTATTATGTTTTTTTTTGTTTCCTTGTGTAATTTTTGTTATTATTTCCTCCATAAAATAGATGAAACTACATTTTATGCAATTGTTTATTCTATGAAACTATTTCAAAATTTTTGAATATCTGATGACATGTATTCTGCCACTTACTTCTTAATTTGTAAATAACATTTAATGTAAATAAAAAGTAGCACAAAATAAACTTTAGATTGTAAATTAATATATAATTTTATCAAAAATTGATATTTAATTGTGTCCAATTTATATTCAAAATTTTTAAATTAATATCNTTCTATGAAACTATTTCAAAATTTTTGAATATCTGATGACATGTATTCTGCCACTTACTTCTTAATTTGTAAATAACATTTAATGTAAATAAAAAGTAGCACAAAATAAACTTTAGATTGTAAATTAATATATAATTTTATCAAAAATTGATATTTAATTGTGTCCAATTTATATTCAAAAATTTCAAATTAATTTTTATTGTTATTAAATTAATATTAAAATTTATTTAATCAATATTTTGGAGTACTAAATTATATCAATTGTTTGGATACTAAATCAAATTTTATTAAATTTATTTTTTTGGGTACTAAATTTGGATATGGGTAATTGTAAAAATAATAAAATTTTTTGGAATGAAATTATTGATTTTCATTAGCNACTAAATTATATCAATTGTTTGGATACTAAATCAAATTTTATTAAATTTATTTTTTTAGGTACTAAATTTGGATATGGGTAATTGTAAAAATAATAAAATTTTTTGGAATGAAATTATTGATTTTCATTAGCAATATTGACGGAAAGACGGAGGTGATCTCCGTGTTACAAATTCAAACCTCAAAGGATCTCCGTGTTGTTTATAAAATGTCAGGAGATAACCTTGTAATATTTCGAAAACTTAGGCGATGTTTGTGATTTTTACCCTATTTGTTAATTAAATATCAATTTATTATTATTTTATCTTAAAATTTTGAATTATTGTATTTCTAATAAAAGTAGTTATTCGTTAGAGGGGTTTGTTGGCAACTAAAAAACAAATGTGTGTGTGAGAGTATTGTTGTTTATATTTATTTGTGAAGAATTGGACATTTGGTGATTAAAATTATAATTATATTGTGACATTGGGGAGTTGAATGGTCATAATGGTAATAAATTAATGATTTTTTGTAAATGAATAAGATTTGATGTAATTGTAAAATAATAAAACTTTTTGGTACTAAATTATTAATTTTCGTTAGTAATATTGACGAAAGGGAGACAGAGAGGTCTCCGTGCAATAAATTCAAAATTCAGGGGGTCTTNATTATAATTATATTGTGACATTGGGGAGTTGAATGGTCATAATGGTAATAAATTAATAATTTTTTGTAAATGAATAAGATTTGATGTAATTGTAAAATAATAAAACTTTTTGGTATTAAATTATTAATTTTCATTAGTAATATTGACGAAAGGGAGACAGAGAGGTCTCCGTGCAATAAATTCAAAATTCAGGGGGTCTTTGTATTATTTATAAAATGTATGGAGGTGTCCGTGTAATATTGTCAAAACTCAAGCGATGTTTGTAATTTTTATCCTGTTTCTTAATTAAATATTAATTTATTATTATTTTATCTTAAAAAGTTGAATTTTTGTATTTCTATTAAAAGTAATTATTGGTTAGGAGGATTTGTTGATAACTAAAAAACAAATTTGTGTTTTTGTTTATATTTATGTGGGAGATTAAACATTTGGTTATTAAATTTATAATTATATTGTGTCATTTAGAGTTGAACAGTGATAGTGGTCATAAATTCATGAATTTTATAAATAAGCAAGATTTGAATGATTTTATTTATCGCTTNATTAAATTTATAATTATATTGTGTCATTTAGAGTTGAACAGTGATAGTGGTCATAAAATCACGAATTTTATAAATAAGCAAGATTTAAATGATTTTATTTATGGCTTAAAAATTATGAATTTAATTGTGTTCTACTAATTTTTTTTTTAGCTTGAGATATTGATTATATGGGGATAGAGTGAATTGAAAATGTGGTGGTAGAGTTTATTATTATGTTGTATTATTGAATTAAGTGGTAGAAGAGGTGTCAAATTCGCAAGNTTGTGTTCTACTAATTTTTTTTTTAGCTTGAGATATTGATTATATGGGGATAGAGTGAATTGAAAATGTGGTGGTAGAGTTTATTATTATGTTGTATTATTGAATTGAGTGGTAGAAGAGGTGTCAAATTCCCAATTCTTATAAATGAGCAATATTTTATTTATTACTAAAAAGTTATAAATTTCAATAGATTATGTTAATATTTTTTTTCTCCAGAATCATTTGTATATATAATGTTGTCTTGGTACGTTTTTATATATTTTTATAACAATTTTATTAATATGAAAGATATAATCAACGATATATTTCGATCCATTTTTAAAAAAAAAATTTGATATGAATATTTTTAAGTTATTCTTTTCGAATTTGGGTAATTACTTTAANTTGGTACGTTTTTATATATTTTTATAACAATTTTATTAATATGAAAGATATAATCAAAGATATATTTTGATCCATTTTTTAAAAAAAATTTGATATGAATATTTTTAAGTTATTCTTTTTGAATTTGGGTAATTACTTTAATTTTTTTTTTTGAAAAAACAAATATTCAATATCGTTTCAAAAAAATGAATGAATTATCACATGTTCTAATAAAATATTTTTCGACTACATTCTTTATGAATTTTACGCAGGACAGCAAACAAATTTCTGTACAAACGGTCCACTTTGTCCTTATTCCAAGGTCGCGCTTCCAGATACTACGGTGCCGTGAAACAAATCCGACAGGTAATGTCCCAAATCGTCAGGGGGNTATCACATGTTCTAATAAAATATTTTTCGACTACATTCTTTATGAATTTTACGCAGGACAGCAAACAAAATTCTGTACAAACGGTCCACTTTGTCCTTATTCCGAGGTCGCGCTTCCAGAAACTACGGTGCCGTGAAACAAATCCGACAGGTAATGTCCCAAATCGTCAGGGGGAAATCTGACCACTAACTCTACACCCATTTCCCTCCGAAATATTCCCCGATACTTCTCGTAAAAGTCCCGATAAACCGGCAAAATCTTCTTCGCCACCGAAACTTTGATCTCATCTCGTAATTTCGGGTCTGCTATAGCCCAAGAACTCTGTTTCCGGTAAGCTTCTTCGAAACCAGAATTGAATTTTGTGAAACACTCCTTCGCCGCCTCTACTGAAATCTCAGCTGTTGGGTTCTCAGGTAGTGACGTCATCACCTTGCTCCATCCCATTCTTTCGTAGTTTGATATGTACTGTTTCACTTTAATCTCGTGGTTTATGAACCAGTCTGATCCCAATAAAAGCGTCAAGCTCGTTGTTCGGGCCTTTGAAACGACGTAGTTTAGGTTGTTGGCGAGGAACAGGTACGACAGAGACACGTCCTTGTAGACCACGGCTTTGCCGTCGAGTTTGCAGAGAAGAACAAGGATAAGCCACGCCAATCTCTCGGAGATCGCAGACGTCGGACTTCCGTCGGGGATGGGGCTCGAGAAGTAAGATTCCGGCAACGGTGTTTGTGCGGACAACGAGTAGTCGGCGACGATGTCGGAGAGACTTCCGCTGTACTCGCAGAGGAAAACGATGTAGTTCATCACGTAGCGAGTCAGTGGATGAACTCCGCCTCCGGGGAGCGTTGATTTGGACGATTGCTTCTGGATCGCCGTCTCAAAGTCCGACAATATTGCACGGACGGCCTCGCCGAGTTTGAGGTGTGAGTTCACGGCCTGTGATCTTACGGAAGTGAGTGATTCGAGTGAAAATATTGATTCAATTTCAGGCCAGAGTTCCGAAATGGACTCGTAGAGGTCCAGCATCCGGAACATTTTCTCCGGAGATTTCTTGCATTTTGCTACCATTTCGGGGAAACCAAAGAGAGTGAGAGCTGGTTCTTTGCAAATCTCTGCGANTGTACGCGGTGTTTGACTGTTGTTGTGTATTGAAATGTTATTGGAGACTGGAGAAACTATCAACCCCCAACGCCACAGTATACGACTTGGTGTACATTGGCTTCACTCGTCTAATTATGCATGTCAATGACTCGAACTCATATTGAATTTTATTTTATTTTATTTTGATCCAAGTATTTGGCAAATTTTAAAAGTCCTAATTATTTGAAATCAAAAATTCAATTTGAAAATATTTTTTGATCTGTATAAATTATTTAATTAAATTCTCAAGTTATACTCAGATCTGAGCTCAATTTAATTACATAATTACTTAATTTCATCATGTAAATGCATACANAACTCTTTCTCAAGCCTCTTTATGGCTATTTGCATCAAGTTTTGACAACGGATAAGCTTTTCAGAACTTGAGTCCTCCTTAACAAAGAAATGCATTGCAGATTGCAGATCCTTCACCGCCATCATGAACTCCTTGGCCTCTCTACGGTCCTCGCTGAATAGCGAAGCCACTTTAGAGTACGAGAAAGTTTCGAGGTTCCATTTCATGATGATTGATTGTGCATATGAAATGTTTTCGTCCATCATCGCAGCAGAAAAGCTTTGTCGAGGCGTTGGAGGGGAAGAAGAAGAAGCGTAAGAGTGTGAAGGTGATGAAGGCCTTGATGGAGAGAAGAAAACACTCCTCATACTTTTTGTTGGCATATATCTATGAGTATTCACGAGTTTCTCTCTCTGTGAATTTATATATCTACAGATTAACAGTTAACAGGGTTTTATTGTATGTATGAGTTTGAGGATGGGTGTTTTGCAGTGCAGAGATTGAGTGAGCGAGAGAGAGTGAGTTTGAGTTGTGGAAGAAAAGAGAGACGTATGGGAGATATATATAGAGGAGAGCATTACTCTTACTGATATAGAGGAGGGGTGTGCGGCGGTTAAAGGGTGCCGTGGGGCTTATAGTAATTGTGTACGCGGTGTTTGACTGTTGTTGTGTATTGAAATGTTATTGGAGACTGGAGAAACTATCAACCCCCAACGCCACAGTATACGACTTGGTGTACATTGGCTTCACTCGTCTAATTATGCATGTCAATGACTCGAACTCATATTGAATTTTATTTTATTTTATTTTGATCCAAGTATTTGGCAAATTTTAAAAGTCCTAATTATTTGAAATCAAAAATTCAATTTGAAAATATTTTTTGATCTGTATAAATTATTTAATTAAATTCTCAAGTTATACTCAGATCTGAGCTCAATTTAATTACATAATTACTTAATTTCATCATGTAAATGCATACATATGTAAAATTTAAATCAGACCATAATCGAATCGAATATTAGTAAGATTTAAACCGGGATCCATCAAACACCATCTGTCTATTTTGCTTTCTCTGTCAAAAATAAAAATTTACATGCATCATATTAATTAATTACATTTTCACTTAGGTTGAATTTAGAAATACATTCAATGCGTTGACAGGTCTAATTTTATCTTAATTTAAATTTTGTATTCATACCATCTGAAGTTTTTTGAGTTGGATTTAAGAGCATGTTCAACTCTTGGCCTAATTAAGTTATTGACCTAATTCACTATACTCATATTAAACATTGATATTTAGTGTTAATTCAACCGTTACAATGAAACAATATCATTAGATCAACAAATTAAATCAAAATTTCTTATTCTCAATAATATTAGATTAGCCGTATTATGAGGATCGATCCTGGAAGAGCAGATTCCAAGTTTAAACTATATTGTCTTCGAAGAGGCTTGACTATTTCTACAGATAGAAATGTTACAAACTACATATACGTTAATTAATACATCGGACGCTTGTATCCTACGTTGACCAGGAATGGAGGTTGGAGAATGTCTCAACCATTTATAAACCAAAACAGGCTTTGAAATGATGGACACGTAATGTGTATTTCCTTATCTATGCATTGGTGTTGAAGATTGCATTTTAATTGTTACTTGTTATTTCACTTCGGTTTTGATATTAATATTGATATAAACAACACTCTGGGAGAAGTTTCAGTACAAGATGATGAGAATTAGCGAATTAGGTGTAACCTTTGTCTCACGTCAGTATTGTTAAGTGATGTAATCGTTCAATGATAAGTCAATAATTAGGTAAAATGAATCCAAACTTGTAATCGTTCAATGATAAGTCAATAATTAGGTTAAATATGTGACGATCACTATCATACATGCATGGAGGAATAGTTATTTGGAAGAGTGATAACCATTTTAACTAATAGTTGAGTTATCATTGAACGGTTATATCACAAGACAATAATGACATAGTATAATATGTTACACTAAATATTTACTTTTGTTTGAGGGGACCAATTCAACTCGTCGGTGTAAAAGGAGAGAGAAATGAACATTTTGCCCGACAATGATCTTTTAATAGGGGCACAATATTCCCCTAAAATTATTTTTTGTATTGTATTTTTTTTATCTAATAAAAACATAGCATTATTTTACGATTTTTGATGGGCCAGACCCAGAATTACATATCAAGCCCATATCACAAATATAGACCAGCAAAGGTCCAGTCACAATTTCAATTGAGTCAAGCCCATCTTCCTAAGAGACCCAACCCATTATCAGCGCATGTGAAAATTTCCATCCAAGGAGAGAAAATTCTTGGGGACGCAGTCATGAAGGGCACATTACTAGTCTCGCGAGATCACCTCGCCCATTACAAGGAAAAACAAGTTTGAAAGGGTCACCTTGCTATCGCCTCGTTCATTACAAGGAAAAAGCAAACCTCACGATATCACCCCACTCCTTGTTACACGAATGATGCCTCCATCAGTGCCCTTCGGAGCTAACTTCACTTGATTGTAAGTCGCACCTATACATGGAGGACATCACATACATCTCTTGAGAAATAAGATTCTTCGGCCATCATAACCATTCCCAGTGGAGTATATCGTCTAGACCAAACCACCTAATCTTTGTGTTTTGCTTGTATTAAGTTTTCTTTACTTTATCCATGATTGATTTTGCATAAACCCAATTTTGTGCATCATTAATCTTTTTAATCAACAATCATGATGCACAAAACAGACTTATGCGTAATCAACAGTCGAGTGTACGATTCAAAATAATTAAAGAAGCGATCTATAGCAAAAGGCAAATATTGGGTTAACATACAAATGTATAGTGATGTATAGTGATTCGATCAGGAGATCTACTCCACTTCCAAAGATGGCAACGGTGGTCGGAGACTTTTATTGATCAAGTAAAGTGAGAGAGAGAACAATAATAAGCTCTAAGAACGGTTGAACAGGTATGAGAGAAATAGTTGTGTAGAGGTGTGTAGAGAGAGGTGCCCCTATCATATGGAAATAGTTTATAATTTATAGGCACAGAACTTTGATTGAGACGATAGCGTGATGGGATAGATGACTAATCTATCGGGGAGGAAAGCTACGGCTAAAAATATGTACAATTCGCACTACAACAATTATGGGTTTTAATGATAAATTTTTTTGGTGACTAAGTTATTTTCGTTATTAATAATTCCCTTTTAGTAATAACAGGTGAATTTGTCACTAATGGTCTAAAATGAGTGACGACAATACTATTTGTTACAAAAAATTTAAATTTTAGTGATGAATTATTGTTCGTCATCGTAAATTTTAGACGATGACGTGATGGGATAGATGACTAATTTATAGGGAAGGATAACTACATCTATAGATAGATATAATTAGAGATAGTCTTCATCTAGGAAAATGGCTATTCTAATCATTACTCTCCACCTGCGCTACTTCTTCTTTAACTCTTTGAATTTTGGATTGAGCCAAATTCATAAACTGAGTTTGACTTGCTTTTGGCTGATTTTGGACTCACTCAACTAATTGGGCTTGAGCAAGTTGGATTCGGGCTGATCAAATAATTATAAATTATTCAAATTGAAGTTTATGAATATGAATAAATTTTGACAATGATCCTTGTGCGTAACTTTATGACTCTTAATGTATGACAATGTTTTTGCATAGAAATTATGGGTGACACGACACCTTTTAACACTAAATTTGTTGTTCCATATATGTCGATTCAAACAATGATGGTTTGAAATATAATATCCCGTCAAGAAAATGATAGGTGTACTTGGTGAAAACCCTCAACAAAACAAAACTTATTGTTGTCATGGCATTGTTTATGATTTTGACACAATTAATTAACAACGTGGAGTTTATAACCTACAAAGTTGCGATTTCTTTTCAAGTTTAACCGTTGGGTTTGAAATCGGGAATTTTCTTTCGTTGATTAAAATCAAGCAAATACGAAACCAACGGTATTATAAAGATTTTGAGCAATTAAGATAGTTAAAAGTGATGTAATTGACACTATGTTCTTCTTTAAAATACTTGACTAAGGGACCGATAAAAAAAATTTGACACCGTACGTCTAAAATATACTATTATGAGTATTTTTTATAATTTTTGTAGGTCATTTTTGTAATAAAAAAATTTATTATTTTTGTGGATATTTTTACCACTATAATTGTGTGCTTTTACTACATTTCTTTGGTAAGAAAAAATTACAACTTTTATGGATGTTTTTATCATTGTTATAAATATTTTTACTACTGTTGTGGTAATTATTTTTTCCATTTTTTTTAGTACTAGAAAAGTGATAAAAACATCTATAACAACAATAAACATATCCACAAATATAATAAATGAAAGCATGATACTAATTTTTTTTTTTTATTTTTTTTATTTGGGGTACCATAGACAACTCCTCCTTTTAAAGGAATTCTTACTTTAAAACCGAAAAAACTCAGAACTGTAGCTAGAGTAGATGCTTCAAATATTTCACCATAGTATATATATTGTGTTATTGAACGTTATTAAATCGAAAAGATAACGGGGAAGGGGACCAATTTTTTATTTAAAAATATTATTCGAAAAATAAGTTTACGTGAAAAGAAAAAGAAGTTTACGTGCATTATAATTGGAAAAATAACATCATAAATCTTATTTTTCTCTGTTGACGATCTGACTATAATATACATTTTTGATTCATGTAATTATTCACAAATTATACATCAGGCATTTCATCCTTGCTTAAGGTTGTGGTGTAAGACAAATCGACACTCTTGGATTGAATGCATGCAATTAATTCTAATTTTTTTAAACATTATTCTTTTATTATTGATAGCTATTAACTTTTGTGCCAAGAAAAATAATACATAGGCCGTGTAAAAAATATACTCTATTCGTTCTTAAATATTTATCATTTTACATAATTTTTTTTATTTCATAATATCTGTCGTTTAATGAAATCAAAACATAATTAATATTTTTTCTTTCAAATTTATCCTTAACTTTTCAATGCATTAGATTAAGTGGAGGTTAAGTGACTTTCATATTCGTTTCTTTCCCAATACATATTGAATATGAGTATTTTAGTCTTGTGCATTTACTTTTTACTCATATTAGAGCTATTTAATAACTTCTTCAATTATTGTGCAAAAATCTTAAACGATCGATATTTAAAAACGGAAGGAGTAGCATTTAGTGACAGATTAGGTGTACATTTTGAACCTAAGAATAGAAAATAAATTTTTTTGGATTGCTAAGTTTGTGTTTGTTAGCAACTCCCGGGTTTCTCTAACTCCCATACATCATGATCTTCTAATTGACCATACTTACCTAATCGTGTTAAACTTGGATTCAATTTTGACATAGGCTAAAAAAACAAATATTAGTTCAAATTATTGTCTTGGTGTGGAACTAAATTTAAAAATTAATAAAAAAAACATATACAAAAATTACATAAAATGAAAGAATTATAGGGTGTCCCTATGCTTTTTGTTGTTATTCGCTTATGCACAGCCTCTGTATTTTAACACAATAATCACATGCACGTAGACACGGACAAGCCAACCAGAACTCAGGGCCGGCAAAAGAATGAAGACGCTGACTTCACTTTTCAACGACCGCTTCTATCACTCCTCCCAGAAGAAGACGACGGTGGCGGGGACGAAAGAGAGGTCGCGCTTCCAGAAACTCCACTGCCGTAAAATAAATCCGACAGGTAATTTCCCAAATCATCAGGGGCATATCTGACCACTGACTCTTCTCCCATATCCCCCCGAAATAATTCCCTGTACTTCCCGTAAAAGTCCCGATAAGCGGGCAAAATCTTCTTCGCCACCGAAACTTTGATCACGTCTCGTACTCTCTGGTCGGCTATAACCCACGAAATCTGTTTCCGGTAAGCTTCTTCGAAACCCGTATTGAATTTTCTGAAACACTCCTTCGCAGCCTCTAATGAAATCTCAGCTGTTGGATTCTCAGGTAGTGACGTCATCACCTTGCTCCATCCCATTCTTTCGTAGTTTGATGCGTACTGTTTCACCTTTATGTCGTGGTTTATCAACCAGTCTGAGCCCAACAAGAGCGTCAAGCTCGATGTACGTACCTTCGAAACGATGTAATTTAGGTTGTTGGCGAGGAACAGGTACGATAGAGACACGTCCTTGTAGACCACGGCTTTGCCGTCGAGTTTGCAGAGAAGAACAAGGATAAGCCACGCCAATCTCTCGGATATAGCCGACGCCGGGCTTCCGTCTGGAATGGGGCTCGAGAAATAAGATTGCGGTAACGGTGATTGTGCAGACAACGGATAGTCGGCGATGATGTCTGAGAGACTTCCGCTGTAATCGCAGAGGAAAACGATGTAGTTCATCACGTAGCGAGTTAGTGGATGGACTCCGCCACCGGGGACAGTTGATTTCGACGATTCCTTCTGGATTGCCATCTCAAAGTCCAACAACACTACTCGGACGGCCTCGCCAAGCTTGAGGAGTGAGTTCACGGCCTGTGATCTTACCGAAGAGAGTGATTCGAGTGAAAAGATTGATTCAATTTCCGGCCAGAGTTCTGAAATGGACTCGTAGAGATCCAAAATCCGGAACATTTTCTCAGGAGATTTCTTGCATTTTGCTACCATTTCGGGGAAACCAAAGAGAGTGAGAGCTGGTTCTTTGCAAATCTCTGCGAAACAAGACTCTTTGACAATCTCCGATGCGGAGAAGACGTGATCGCATAGAATTCTCTCTCCGTAGAAGAGTGTTTTCACGGCGATGTTTGCCGCGTTCAACCAGTTCTTGATTTTGCGCTCGATCACATCCCAATCCATCTTCTGAATCTGCGAGAAACTCAGTTTCTCAACTCCGAGATGGTACAGGGTCTCATCAACAATCGATCTCCGAATAATTTTGTAAATCTTCACGCACTCTTTTCCATAACCGGAAGATATCATACAGTCCGCAATAGCTTTCAAATCCGGCATCACATTCTCCGAAACATTTTCGACTTCAGGTACTGAATTTGAAGCCACCTGAATCACATCTTCCTCCGAGTCATCATCTTCATAATCAGAAACACTGCTCGGTCTTCTCGATGATCGTGAAGATCGGCTAGAAACAGACTCAGGGTCAAGGAATTTCCGATTGGCCGACAAAATCTGGTAAAACTCTTTCTCTAGCCTCTTTATGGCTATTTGCATCAAGTTCTGACAACGGATAAGCTTTTCAGAACTTGCGTTCTCCTTAACAAAGAAATGCATCGCAGATTGTAGATCCTTCACTGCCTTCATGAATTCCTTGGCCTCTCTAGGGTCATCGGTGAAAAGTGAGGCCACTTTAGAGTAAGACAAAGCTTCGAGGTCCCATTTAATGATGATGGATTCTGCATAAAGAATGTTCTCCTCCATCATCGTTACAGACAAGGTGTGTAGAGGGGAAGAAGATGGAGAAGCGTAAGAGGGTAAAGGCGATGAAGACCTTGACGGAGAGATGAAAACACTCCTCGTACCTTTTGTTGGCATATCTATGTGTATTCACGAGTTTCTCTCTCTGTGAATGTATATATCTATAAATTAACAGTTAACAGGATTTTATTGTATGTATGAGTTTGCGGATGGGTGTTGTGCACTGCAGAGATTGAGAGAGAGAGAGTTTGAGTTTGAGTTTGAGTTGTGGAAGAAAAGAGAGACGTATGGGAGATATATATAGAGGAGGGGTGTGTGGCGGTTAAAGGGTGCCATTGGGCTTATTTTGAATGGTTGGCCAATCGACAGTGTACGCGGTGTTTTTGACTCATTTTGGTTTATTAAAATGCTATTGAGGCCGGAGGACAAGTCAAACGACCTTTACGAAGTTTCACTCGTTTACTCTTATTAATTGATATTAGCCTGTCCTGAATCGAAATTGGATTAAATTTTATGTTATTCTAATTTCAATGCTCAAAGTCGAATAGCCAACGAATTTAATTTTCATAATTCATGTGCCAATTATATTAAATAAATCTCATTTGATTTTTATAATTTATTGAATTGAACCTTTAAAAATTGTATTTAAATTTGATTTTTGTTTATCAAAAAATTACTTAGCTACATCGCCAATTTATGTATCTATGTCTAACTAGACCATAATCGGATAAAATAAGAAAATATTTTTTGTATTTAATTTAGTGATTTTAACTAATTTATAATATAAAACAAGATGACTTCAACAAACTGATCATACGATTTCAAATTTATTTATCTAACGGTCAAAAAATTATAATTTTTTTCCTTAATATTTCCTCACCCCAAAAAGTCAATGATTACGACTGATTTTTTTAACATACGGTCTCAAATTCATTCATCCAACGATCAATAAATTATAATTTTTTTCTCCAATATTTTCTCCCTTAAAAAGTCAACGATTATGGCTGATCTTGAACACATCTTACGATCTTAAATTCATTCATTCAACGGTCAATATTTTTCTTTTCCTTAATAAATTAACATTTTGTTAATCATTTATGTAAAATGCGGGTGTATTAAAAGATGTATGTTAGGTTTTCAATTTAGTATGCGTCCAAGTTCAATGCTTGATTATTTCATGTTCACAATCAATATTTGATTTTTTTTTTAAATTGTACAGTACCTTCAGACACGAGTTATCGCTAGTGATATAGTCATTAAATTGATAGTAACTCTGAATTAATAGTGAGGTCCATTGTCAATTTTATGACAAAATATTATAAAATTATTAAATAAGATTACTAAATAAGGTCAATGTAGCATTGAACGATAAAATATTAGTAGTATTTGAATCGAGATCCATGGANATTAAATAAGATTACTAAATAAGGTCAATGTAGCATTGAACGATAAAATATTAATAGTATTTGAATCGATATCCATGGGACACGATATCTTGGATGTGGTTAACGGGTCAAAAATCCTTTGTATCAATTGCAATTAGCCTATTTTTACTATTTTTTTTTGTATACGTTATATATACATTGAACCATTCTTGTATCTAATGAATATTTGAGTATCAAATATAATATTATCTTGATGTTTGTATGGGGTCAAATATTTATGCACCTAAGTTTCCATAATCGATTGAACACATGGTTTTACTTTTAGACTAGGATGACATTTTGCCATTGTCATAGTATGGGGTTCTTGGACATTAAGAGTATTGCAATTTTAAACCACATGGTCTTCAAAGTTATTAGAATGGTATTTTAGTATTCGGGTGCTTGACTATTTCTACTAGCACACATTTTTGAAATCTCTATTCGGACAGGTTCACTCACATATGCTGAAATTTAGTATTATTTAACTAGATAAAAGCATTATTCACATCATATATATATATATATATATCCCCTATTTATATTATTTGAGCACACAATACCATGTGAGTTGATAAAGGTTAAATTACACTATTGATATTTGGACATAATTTGTTAATCTAATTATTATAACCATTGGATTGTTGGGTTTAACTCCAAAAAATAATTTAAGTGATAACAAAGACAAACTATAAACCATTCNATCTAATTATTATAACCATTGGATTTGTTGGGTTTAACTCCAAAAAATAATTTAAGTGATAACAAAGATAAACTATAAACCATTGAGATCAGACGTTCTAAATTTGAATCTTGGCTACTAATTGGAACTAAGTCATGAGAGATATGGGTCCCAACAAATAATGAGGTTTATTGTCAATTAAATGATTATGAATGATTAGTTTAATAAATTATGTCAATCAATTAAATTCAAATAATATTGCCCATTAAATTATTGCACTAGATTCAAAGTTTAACAACTGCCTTTATTATCTTTCTTTCTGTTTTTAAGGTAACGGTGTGATTTTATATATTGAGAACAAATATACCTAAAAGATGTAGAGACACTAAAAATTCAGGTGCTCTCTCCTCTCATACAGCAGTATTATCAACGAACATAGCATTTCTCGCTAACTGGTGTACCACGCAATCTGCTGATCGTAACACTATACTTTATTAACTTTGAGACAGTATTTCTCCCATCCTTTATTATCTTCGAGAAAGTATTTGTTCGTCTTTCTACTTTTCGTGCTATCGATCGTTGTCTTCCATGAAATTGATCATTCTAAGTAACCGTCTTTATATACAATCTCTTTAGTTGGTCTTATTCCTTCACTTCAAGAAAGTCTCTAAACCACGCGATATAAATACCTGAATTGATAGAAGCTTAGACGCTTGTATAGTTGACCAAATAGATCAGAAGTTCCTGCACAGGAACGGAGTTTAATTGGAGAATGTTTCAAAACATTTAAAAATCAAAACCTGTGTTTTGAAACAGTCTCATATATGGAGCTTTTGACTCATGGGATTTTAAAAAAAAAAGTACCAAATAATGATGATTTTGAAAGTAATTCTCAAATGCAGGGCAATTTTTAAAAACGTCAAACGAAATGACGTTTTTAGGCTAAAGACGTCAAATAGACTGACGTTTTTATCCTAAAGACGTCAAATAGTTTAACGTGTTTATAATAGACGTCAAACCGTTTGACGTCTTTAACTACAATGCCCCTCTCGCGTCTCAACATTTCAATCTATGTAGTGTAGTCACAATCTTTAACGTTTAGGTTGGAGTACAACAAATAAATGAGTTTATTTTTATGTTGTTTTAATTCATATAATTATCATAACTGCCTTCTAATTTTTATCTTGGATTTTAATTTAGTCCTTAGTGATAGGGTTTTTGCCATTTTTATGAGTAAAATGTTAAATATTTATTTAATAAATAAATTAATTAATAAATAAATTTTGATATTTTAAAAATACATAAATTTTTTTTGTTATTTATTTATAAATGTAATTACATTCAATAAATAAATTTTGATAATTTAAAAATACTTAAATTTCTAACGTTTAACACATCACTCCACTGTCAGTCCATCTCATTCAAATTAGGCTATTTTATTTTATTTTTTGCTCCTTTTGTTTTTTGTGTAAAAAGTCACCTTATTTGTTTATCACTCCACTTGATTTGAGTAATTATCATAAGTGACCCCTAAATTTTGCTCTCGGGTTTTAATGTTTATTTCCAATTTTCCAACGACCACCTCCAACACCGAAAAACGCAGCACCCCCACCATCACAGCACCACCCACCACCACCCTTCACCACCGCTACACCCCCACCTTTGCAGCACCACCCAGGACCACACTACACCACAACAACACCACCCTACACCAGTTTGCACAACCCACCAGCACCCACCATCGAAGCCCCCAATCCAAGCACCACCAAGCGACGTTGTTCAGTCCCGCAAGTAGAAAATGTAGTTTTTTCCCAAGCTGAGGTTCTAAGGAAGGTTAAAGGTTATGTTTTGTTCTCCATTTTTTTTCTGTTCTATTTGATTTCATATGTCATTGAACTTAGTTTGAGTTTTCTTGATAATTTTGGTGAACAATCAGAGATGGGTATTAAGGAACAATCGAAAATGGTGAACACTTGTGATTAACTTATTAGATACCGGTAATTGATCTTACTTCGATCTAACCCTAAAAATGAAAACGTTCAACACTTCAAACTTAAGAATATTTCATATGTTAAAGTCACTGGAAAATTGGAAATAAACACCATTTTTCTTTCTCATGGGTTAATGGCAATTATATGTATATGTTTTTAATTTTTAAAGTTTGATATGCTAAAAAAATATAAGTATTTTTAATGGAAAGATTAATTGAAATAAAATTAATAATTGATGGATTAAATTAAAAGAATTACAATATTATGGACTACATTAAAACCCAGGAGCAAAATTTAAGGGTCACTTATGATAATTACCCAAATCAAGTGGAATGATAAACAAATAAGGTGACTTTTTACAAAAAAAAGGAGCAAAAAATAAAATAAAATAACCCAATTTAAATGAGATGGACCGGAGGTGGAGTGATGTGTTAAACCTCAGAAATTTAAGTATTTTTAAATTATCAAAATTTATTTATTGAATGTAATTACATTTATAAATAAATAACAAAAAAAATTTATGTATTTTTAAAATATCAAAATTTATTTATTAATTAATTTTTTTTATTAAGTAAACATTTAACATTTTACTCATAAAAAAGGCAAAAACCCTGTCACTAAGGACTAAATTAAAACTCAAGATAAAAATTAGGGGACAGTTAAAATAATAATCTAAACTAATGGATAATTATGATAATTATATAAATTAAAACAACATAAAAATAAACTCATTTGTTTGTTGTACTCTAACCTAAAAGTCAAAGATTACGGCTACACGATATGGATTGAAATGTTTAGACGCGAGGGGGGCATTGTTATTAAAGACTTCAAACGATTTGACGTCTATTATAAACACGTTAAATCAATTGAAGTTTTGAAGTTCATGGGCTGATCTATATTATTGGGCTAAAAAACGTCAAATGGATTGACGTTTTTAGGATAAATACGTCAGTCCATTTGACGTCTTTAACCTAAAAACGTTAATTCATTTGACATTTTTAAAAATTATCTGCAGTTAAATAT